ATAAGTATTAAGGCAGTTTTGCCTGTATTTGTGGGAGGGGCTTAAATTAATTCACTCCCCTATATAAGGGACACCCCTTACCTGACTCATATCGCTTGAGGTCAGCATCAGAATGATTTCCACTTCCGGGTCATCCAGACGCCATTTTACCTGATTACTCCATGAGGTTTTCTAAGCTGAGCTGTGTCAGGAATCCAGCCACAGGCTTTTCCGGCCTACCACCTTCTTTCTTCAATCTATCGCTGTGGATGGTGTCCAAGTGACTCACAAACCGTAAGTTGACCTACCCGTTACGCCAGGCATCAGTCCCACGGCACCATGCAAGGGTCAGGTCCTCACTTTACTGCGGCATTTTGTCTGTCTGTTCTAAAACCATTGCATGTTCATGCATATCATTTGTTTAAACCCCCTACTGGTCTTTGGGTGTACTACAGACTTCTTAGACATTATCGCATTTCATGTACAAACCAACGAACCACTGCATCTTTGCCTACACACTGACCCCTACCGGTCATTCGGTGTACTACAGGCTTCTCAGACATTATTGCATTTCATGTACAAACCAACGAACCACCGCATTTTTCACCTACACACTGACCCCTATTGGTCATTCGGTGTACTACAGGCTTCTTAGGCGTTGTTTGCATTTTCATGTACAAACCAATAAACCACTGCATTTACACCTACACACTGACCCCTACTGGTCTTTCGGTGGACTACAGGCTTCTTAGACATTATCGCATTTCATGTACAAATCAACGAACCACTGCATTTGCGCCTACACACTGACCCCTACCGGTCATTCTGTGTACTACAGGCTTCTCCGACATTATTGCATTTCAGGTACAAACCAACAAACCACTTAATTTTTCACCTACACACTGACCCCTATCAGTCATTCGGTGTACTACAGGCTTCTTAGACATTATTGCTTTTCATGTACAAAACAATAAACCACTGCATTTTCACCTACACACTGACACCTACCAGTCATTCTGTGTACTGCAGGCTTCTCAGAAATTATTGCATTTTATGTACAAACCAACAAACCACTGCATTTTCCACCTACACACTGACCCCTATCAGTCATTTGGTGTACTACAGGCTTCTTAGACATTATTGCTTTTCGTGTACAAAACAATAAACCACTGCGTTTTTACTTACACACAGACACCTACCGGTCATTCAGTGTACTACAGGCTTCTCAGACATTATTGCATTTCATGTACAAACCAACGAACCACGGCATTTTCGCCTACATGCTGACCCCTGCCGGTCAATCGGTATACTACAGTCTTCTCAGACTTTATTTCACTTCATAAGCAAACAAACTAACTACAGCATTTTCGCTTTTATACTGACTCCTATCTGTCAAACGGTAGGATTAACCCCTTAAGGACACATGACATGTCTGACATGTCATGATTCCCTTTTATTCCAGAAGTTTGGTCCTTAAGGGGTTAAAGGGTATTTTTACCATACAATCAGCATTTATGACCCCTACTGGTCAACAGCAAAACTGTCTTCACATGTCATATACAATTTACCAGCCAATATAAATTACACATAAGATTGTTTTAACCCCTTAAGGACACAAGACATGTGTGACATGTCACGATTCCCTTTTATTCCAGAAGTTTGGTCCTGAAGGGGTTAAACATAACCATAAACCATAATGAAACTTCAGCACGGGCTCAAATTCAGGTCTAATTCACAATAATTAACATTTCACATCAAGACCAACAGTGGTTCTATCAACACTGCCACCTACAGGTCTGTCAAGTACATTGACAATTTTCATGGGGTTTTACAAACACCAAAACACTTACACCTATAGGTCAACAGACAAACAACATTTCACATACCAATCAGTATCCAACTACACTGCCACCTATAGGGCACTCGGCAGATCTCCAGTGCACTTGCCTTTTGCAACACCGTGTTCACTGACCCCTACCATTCAATAAGACATACAACAATTCACATAGCAGGCACTATATCAACATCAGGTATAAATACATATATTATTACACAGTAGCAGACGCGTCTGTATATACGTAACTGGTAATATAGTTCACATACATTTTTCACAGCACGCTGCTCACGCAACAGACTTTCCCCTAGCAAGGGGACATACAACATACAAGGTGGGGACAGACCACATTTTCACTTGTACATACGGCACTTAATGGGTTAAGATTGATACATATTTAACCAGTATGGCTACGATGTTTAATATTTACACATCATGGCACTTTACTTTTCACATATACTGTACGTATTAAGATAAGCTTGGTCTATGCCATATTTCCTTATGCCATACGGTTTTATCCATTCAGGTTACAGTTACTACTAAAAAACCTATACGGATTGTCAGGTTCAATACCATACTACCAGGTACATACACCTGCTCACGTAGTTATCCATCTCTTACCTTCCCTGGAATAGTAATAGTGTACTGGCAATTAGGGTTCTAGGGCCCAATAGGTATTACCCCCTTTTTTCTCTGCATTATGCTTCGGTTAGTGGTCCCGCGAGGCCAACACCCCGCCTCACACTCGGAGGCATACACCCCTCGGGCCACTCATGAGCTAGCCGCCTCGCATTGTATCATAGAGAGGGCCTCACCTGTCACTCCCCTTCCTATTTTCTGGTTACTGTCACCGAGAGGCCAACATCCTGCCACAACGTTCGGTGGCCTCACCAGTCACCAAAAAACACCAAGCCTAATCGTTTCGCCTTACGGCCTAGCTAGCAAGCCAGTACAAGAACCCTGGGTGCAAATAATTGCAATCTTTATTGTTATTTAAGTATTTCTCAAAAAGATGGTGAAGAATCACCTCTTCCTAGCACCCCGGCTAGAAATGATACACCTTCAAGCAGAGGAGATGTTGCTAGTCCAGCAGCAATCAGATCCTGGACGATCCCACACATTACCACCGACCTAAGGAGGTGACAAATCCCCTACCCTGCTACAGCAAGGAAAGCAGAGTTATTCGAACTCCTCCATACATCAACGGACAACACGGAGGCAGGGGAAGGCCCAGCTACATCAACTCAGGTGACACCCAGGCTATGCTAGCCTCACTCATAAACTCATGAGCCAAAAATTTATGACAGACTGGCAATCTCGAGTTGGTCACCACAGCCCTCACAAGGCTGGGCCTCACGTTACTGTACAACCAGCACCAACCGAAACTCTGTTACCTGGTACAATCAATTCTTATGACACACAAGATGTTAACCCTGCACGTATGATCCCAGCACATTGGGGAAGCAAGGCATATATATGTATGATGATGTATCTGTGATGGTCAGATCCAGGGATTCCAGGTGAATCGGGAACTGACCATCTCTTGGATGGGTTGGTATTTGGAATATGTAGAGATGTTTATTTGTGCAGGTACCCATACAGAAGGGATTCTGTCCCAAACAAATGGATGAGCACTCTCAGGCTCCAGGTACCAGCACCTCTGAACTACCAGAGACCATTGATATGAGTAGTTGCATTGCATATAGACTGTTGCATATATGTTCAAATGGTTCAGGGCACATGACAAACCATGTGGCCCAATACAACTTACAAATAACGTACTCACCATCTGTACACACCAATGCATTTTCAACACTACTGACTCATCACCCTTCCAGACTTGTAGTAGATTTACTAAAGCTCTGGAGCTTCAAAGGGCTCCCATACAGGTATCATAAACACACCTTCAAGGCATATAGCATGCCCTCACTTACAGTCAGCACAACAAAACCATTGGCTGAAAACACACTCATTTGCAGAGGGGTCTTCCAATCTCCACCATTTACAGCATGGCAACAAACACATTGGTATTGTCACAAGGAATCTTCTCTTAAACACAGACTAACCATAGACTTATTGGCACCACACACCTCCGCTACCCCAAGTCTCAACTCCCTCATACCCTCCGAGGATTTTTCTTACTATACAACACCATTGATCTACCTTTACAGCTATCACTCAAGGGTTAAAGCTTGGTTAAGTAAGACCAATATCATCAACGCAGTAAACGGCTACCATCTACCCTACACACTGGCACTTACATGGCATAAATTGGGCAATCCTTTCCCCGCTCAAGTTTCGAGCTACAGATTAGCCTACTATCGATATTCGCAGATACTCTGTGCTGGTTATGATAACATATCCAGAGGCATTACAGTCATACACTATCTAGAAGACTTCTTGTTGCTCAAAGAAAGCATATTTTTCACTAGAAGCCTCATGGCAGCTTAGTCTGGTTGACCACTTGGGCGTCCCAGTACCCCATAAGAAACAGAAGGCGCAGACACTATCATCACATTACTGGGCATATGACTTGAGTCGGCATCCATACACACAAGTTACCACAAGACAAATAGGGAACATTCTCAACTAAATCAATCACTACCTCCTGCTTAGTACTTACAACTACAAGGAACCACAATCCCTACCAGGTTCCTTAATTTTGCCATGCCAATCATACCACAAGACCACGCTTTCACATCCAGAGTACTTTCCCCTTTTTACCACACTTCCAACATGACGATCAGAGGAGGTGCCTAGACACCTCAGCAACAGCAGACCTGCACATGGGGGGGGATTTCTTAACCACTTGGCATGGTAAAAGCATGTTCCTTCCAGGATTGTCTGACACTTCTCCAACCAGATGGTCAGACGCAGCGTATACCACTGGTTTGGCAGCGATCTACCGGGAACAATTGCTTTGGAGCTGTTGGCCATGGCATCCAGGTTTGGAAATTTTTCCACCACTTCAGCCCCTTTGGGAGATCTACCCCATTGTAGCAGCTGCTGTGGCATGGGGTAAATCATGGTCAGGGTCATCAATCCGTTGTTACTCAGACAACTAAGCACATATCATATCATCAACAAACGCCACTACTCATCCATAAGTTCATGATGTTTCTGGGGAACTCACTTGGTTGGCCACTTATCACATTTCACTTTCATGTACCAGACGGGGGTATACATCCCTGCCGACAACTGTCTCATTTATATTCCAGGCATGTTCATCATACGCTTCCTACAGCCGCCCATACAGTCACGTCCACTCTTTCATTCCAGAGACAAAATCATGGATTAGACATACTCATGCAGCATAGCATGCACTTTCGTCCCATACTTGTAGAACGCATAACACAGCTTTTCACCTGGCTTAAAGAATCTCATTGGAACACGACATAGCTCAACCTGTGTCACAAAATTTCTCCTAAGTTTTGCTTATTTTTGCCACCTTAAACTTAAACTATCTCATACACCATTAATCATATATTTTACAGGCATTCAACAACACAGGATAACCTATGGCCAAAACTACCATAAACTTCATGCTATCATACCAGAAAAGAATATACTCAGAGGTTTTCAGGAATCCATTCCCCTACGTTCCTCTCAGAGATTACCAATAGCCATCCAACTTTTCATCCTTATCGGACCTATTAGATCTACAACCATTTAATTATACTACCAAGTCGGCCATTACCAGCCATGCACATTGCCTTTTATGCCTTTCTCAGGCCAGAGAATCCACTACCATCACCACCCTTCAGACAGATCATTGTCTTCAACGATCCCACGTACGTAAACACATATATCATTACCTATTGGCTCTACCACATTCCGAAATGAGTCAACATGCACCAACAGTAGAGATAACATACTATCCTACCCACAACAAATGGTGCCCACTTTCGGTCCTAGATTCCTACCTTCAAAATCCTTTCAGGAATTAAATACTGTAATGCATTTAAGGAAATGTCTGGTTAATTTGTATATATTTGTTGACTGTATTAAATCTTTGATTATTCATTTTTGCCCTCTTTATTTACAGGCCTACCGTATCGTCGGTATCGGCACACCACAACCGACTTGCTCCCTTTACACTATCCTAAGCTTATGCTGGATCCTTACTCCATATACGGCTATTTTGCCCCTTACACAAGTATTAAGGCAGTTTTGCCTGTATTTGTGGGAGGGGCTTAAATTAATTCACTCCCCTATATAAGGGACACCCCTTACCTGACTCATATCGCTTGAGGTCAGCATCAGAATGACCCTCCCACCCACTCCTCATTTCAACACTTTCTCTTTTCTTTCCATTTACTTTACTTTCTTACTCCTTGGTGGGCCCTCTTTATTTACAGGCCTACCGTATCGTCGGTATCGGCACACCACAACCGACTTGCTCCCTTTACACTATCCTAAGCTTATGCTGGATCCTTACTCCATATACGGCTATTTTGCCCCTTACACAAGTATTAAGGCAGTTTTGCCTGTATTTGTGGGAGGGGCTTAAATTAATTCACTCCCCTATATAAGGGACACCCCTTACCTGACTCATATCGCTTGAGGTCAGCATCAGAATGACCCTCCCACCCACTCCTCATTTCAACACTTTCTCTTTTCTTTCCATTTACTTTACTTTCTTACTCCTTGGTGGGCCCTCTTTATTTACAGGCCTACCGTATCGTCGGTATCGGCACACCACAACCGACTTGCTCCCTTTACACTATCCTAAGCTTATGCTGGATCCTTACTCCATATACGGATATTTTGCCCCTTACACAATTTCTTTATAGTAAATTATACGATATGATAAAAATAATGGTATCTTTAGAAAGACCATTAAATGGCGAGAAAAACAGTATGTAATATGTGTGGGTAAAGTAATTGAGTATGTAGGAAAAGTACAGCTAAACACAAACATCGCAGAAATGTAAAAACAGCCCTGGTCCTTAACGGTAAGAAAATTTAAAAAACAGTCTGGTCACTAAAGGGTTAATTTCTAATTATATTCATAATACTTAGGCAGTTGAGGTTCATTATCTATATGTCCCTATTGACCTATCTTTTTGTAAAACCTTAAGAAGGTATTGCACTCTGTATTATGAAAAACAATTAAATGAAATATTTAAAAGTTACATAGTTACATAGCAAAAAAGAAGGAGTAATAGGTGCTCACTATAGTGTATTATAGACAGGCAGCAGTATACAGAACAAGGATTCCCAAAACCTTGTGGATAGATAGAGAAGACAAAAAGAGGCGTATACCACGCCTAATAGTATATGTGTATATATATATATATATATATATATATATATATATATATATATATATATATATATATATATATATATATATATATATATATATACACACACATATACAAAATGTACGTACATATATTCCCAAGTATTTCCAATGGATTAAACCTCGGAATAAAATCAGATAAAAAATAAAAGTGCAATACAGTAAACTTATATAGTGAAGTGGTCAATATAACTATACAGAATCCACTCACATTTATATGAGCTGTAAGAGAGCTCAACTGTGATGCGCTTGGACGGTACGATCCCCGTCTCAGAATATGTTGTTATGGTTGGCACAGGTATTTCCAAAGTGCAGTATGCGTAGTATATGTAAAAACAAATAGCAGCCAATGGTGAAGTAAGTACTTATGATGGAATACATAATGAATAGTAATGTACTTACAATTAGTAGAGCATTAAACTTGCTCTAGTATGGACAGCTTGGGTGGTATAATCCCCACCAGGGATATGCAGGATCCAGGAAGCAGCAAAAAGAATGAGTATAAAAAGTAATTATAAAAAAAAAAATCGGTACAGACTCTGATAAAACCACTTCTTCAGGCAGAGAATTCAACATCCTTATTGTTATGACGGTAAAACCTTTCCTTTACCTTAGACTAAATCTCCTTTCTTCCTGTCTAAAACTATAACTATATATAAAGTCCTGTTTTTGAATAGATTTCCAGACATTGTATAATGTCACAATATCCCCTTTGTTTTTCTAAACTAAAGAGGTTTAAATTTGTTAACCTTTCTTGTGCCATAATATCCTTCTTTAGAACAGGTGCCCACAATTGCACAGCATATTCAAGATGTGAGAAATAGAAATGCAAGTTTAGATGCTCACTATGTACTATAAGAAAAAAAGCAGCAGACAATCCTATAACAATTTCCAAAACCTTGTGAAAAAAAAAACACAATTAGAACAAAATCAAGGTGGATCACCTAAATAGTACCATAACCCTTTAAGTGAAAAATCCCACATAAAATATGTATACATACATATATTGTCAGGGTCTTTTTTTGTTCATAGCCAAGTGCCAAGTACCTCAAATAAGAGAAAAAGAACAATAATGGTACAGTATTGTTTTAAATTATTGTGATTATTGCACACTCACAGTTTTCTGAGCTCCAAACAGCTCTGCTGTATTAGGCGTAAACAGTATAATCCCCATCTTGGAATATATATTCAACAGTATTGATGGTATATTTTCCAAGATATTAAGATATGTGAAGATAAAAATGTAAAACTCCAATAGTGCAATATGTATTGTAAACTGACTGTGCACAATAATAAAAGTAGGTATACTACTCACATGGCATAGAGCATGGGCCTGCTCTAGTATTGAAGAGTATTAGTGGAACAATCCCCACCTATGATATATGTAATCAGGAAGCCAAAGGGTTAAAACATTCAATCCAAAATAAATTCAAGATAAATTAAATCTAAGGATTAACTTCATTACAACCAAAACAATAAAATGTATTAAGAACAATCCAAATGAATGGTGGGAACACACTTAACCTGTTTCAACTTGGGGTTTCATCAGAAGTTTTATGTACCTTTTTAAAACATGACAATACCTTGCTGAATTGACATTGCACAATGTTGCCTAGTTTGTTGTCTATAACAAATCCCTAATCCTTCTCGTATTCACTACAATTAAGGGTATAAGTTGCCTGTGCATTCTTTACCCCACAGTGCATAACTTTGATTTTTTCTACATTAAATTTCATCTGCCAATTGAGTTCCCAGACCTCTAGTCTATCTAAATCCCTCTGCAGCTAAGTACTATCTTGCTCACATTGTAGGGGTCCCAGAACAGAACCCTGATGGACACCACTTACCACTTTTGGTTTGCAAATTTACCATTAATGACAACTCTTTGTACTCTGTGTTTAAGCCATTGTTCTACCCAGGAACAAGTATTTTTTATGTAGATCGATTTATTTACATTTGAACACTAACCTATTGTGTGGAACACTATCAAACGCCTTGGCAAAATCCAAGTAGATATTTGTAGAATGCAATTAAGTTTTGGATTCCCTATGTTATACTTTCCTCAGAATAAAGCTAGAAAGGTTTCTTCTTTAATGCATAGGTTTTGTTTTGTTTTTAAATTGAGTTCTGAAGAGTTGAGTTGTGAAGCTTAAGTAGTAAGTTAACTCAATTTCCATGAATATTGTCAATTATATATGGTCAATGCATTCATCTGAACTTTAATATATCCAAAATGTTAAAGGGACACTATAGTCACCAGAACAACTACAGCTTACTGAATATGTTCTGGTGAGTAGAATCATTACCTTCATGCTTTTTGCTGTAAACACTGTCTTTTCAGAGAAAATGCAGTGTTTACATTACAGCCTTGTGATAACTTCACTGGCCACTCCTCAGATAGCTGTTAGAGATCCTTCCTGGGTCATAGCTGCCTAAAATGCATCCAAACATTCAGTATCTCCTCCCTCTGCATGCAGACACTGAACTTTCTTCATAGAGATTCATTGATTCAATTCATCTATATGAGGAGATGCTGATTGGCCAGGGCTGTGTTTGAATCATGCTGGCTCTGCCCCTGATCTGCCTCTTTGTCAGTCTCAGACAATCCTATGGGGAAGCATTGTGATTGGATCAGGTCATCACTTCTGGTGATGTCAGCACACTGCTTGTTTTTTTTGTAGGGAAACAACATGCAGATCTATAGCTTCTGGTTTTAATACAGTAAGATTTTGCTATATTTATGGAGGCATGAGGGGTCCAGGGGTGCTAGATGGTAGTGTTAACACTATAGGGTCAGGAATACAAGTTTGTGTTCCTGACCCTATAGTGATCCTTTAAGCTATGTGTTATACATAGATAATTTAACATGGAGTCTTACCTTTTAAATCCAGGTACCAAACTCTCAATGTGCATTCAAAGTCATGTTCACTAATAATTTCTGATTTTTTTTCCAATTTGTTAAAAAATATATACTAATTAACATGATCTGATGCAATTTAGATTACAAAATGTTAGATAAGGGTTCAGTCACTATTCTTATGAAACTTGCACAACCACCTACAAATGTGCATTTTGAGTTCCAAATGGAACCCTTCAAAATCCTCCTACGAAATAAGTTTCAAGATGAGGCCTATTAGCAAGGAATGCATATTGTTTCACATACATCTCTGAATTTTTCCAGATTAAATTCACATTTGGGTGGCTTATGAATTAAAACTAATTATTACAAAATAATACTCATAATAAAGAGAAGCAGGTGGGTTGTATAGTCTAAAATAACCAGAAAATATTCTTCATTATAAAAAAGAAGGTTATCTTGCACTATTAAAGGTACACTATAGGCACCCAGACTACTATAGCTAATTGAAGTGGTCTGGGTACAGTGTCCATCCTTCCCCTTAGTCCTGCAATGTTTACATTGCAGTACTAAGACAGC